CACTGTACTCCAGTCTGGGTGACAGAGTGAGATTCCGACTCAAAAAAAAAAAAAATTAAAGAGCTGGACATGGTGGCTTATGCCTGTAATTCCAGCATTTTGGGATCTGAGGTAGCAGGGTTGCCTGAGCCCAGGAGTTTGAGACCAGCCTGGACAAAACAGTGAGACCTCATCTGTACGAAAAATTTTTTTTGAAAATTAGCTGGACATGGTGGTGTGTGTCTGTAGTACAAACTACTCAAGAGGCTAAAGTGGAAGGATTGCCTGAGCCTAGGAGGTAGAAGTTGCAGAGAGCCATGGGCGTACCACTGTATTCCAGCCGGGGCAATATAGTGAGACCTTGACTCAAAAAAATAAAAAAATCAATATTGTAGAGATGACAATTTTCTACAAATTAACCTATAAATTCAATGCAGTTACAATCAAAATTCCAAAAGAATTTTTCATATTGCAACTAATTTAATTTTTAAAAAAATTTTAGCATCTCTATAGCATAGAGAAAAGCTAATTTTTTTTTAAAAGAGGCAAGAATAGCCAAGGTAATTTAAAAATATGAAGGAGAAGATTACCAGATGACAAAACCTATTATAAATCTGTTAAAACAGTATGGTATTGCTGGAGAGATGAATAAATCAACAGAGCAAACCAAAGACTCTAGAAACAGACTCATGTATATGTGTCCAATCATTCAAGAAACATTCTTTTCTTGACTCTAAGACAAACACTGCTGGGTTCTGGGGAGACAGCAAAGCATAAAACGGGTAAAATCCCTTACCTTGTAGGGCATACATTCTGGTAGGATGAAATATGCAAAAACAATGCAGAAATATAGAGCTTGTCAGATAATAATAAATGCTAAAAAGAAAAACAGAGCAGAGAAGGGGGAAGAGAATGTTGGGGTGAGGGAATAGGTTGCAATTTAAAATGGCATATAGGAGCAGCTTGTTAAAAAGCAACATTTGAGTAGAGGAGGGGAGGGCTGGTGCCTGAAGGTATCTGGAAGAGACTGGTCCAGGCTGAAGACACAGCAAGCACAAAGGCCCTGAGGCAGGAGCGTGTCAACATGTTTGAGGAACAGCAAGGAGACCAATGTGGCTGGTACAGAAAAAGCGCTGGGAGAGAGTGGCAGGGGACAGTGAGAGAGTTCCCAGATGGAAGCCACTGAACAATTCTGGGAAGTGGAGGGGACTTCTTTGACTTGATCTAAAAGTATGATTGAGAGTGCTATTTTAAGAAGAGATCATGGCCGGGTTCGGTGGCTCAGCCTGTAATTCTGGCACTTTGGGAGGCCAAAGTGAGTGGATTGCCTGAGCCCGCAGGTTAGAGACCAGCCCGGGCAACTTGGCGAGACCTCATCTCTACAATAAATCAAAAATTAGCTGGACGCGGTAGCATGTGCCTATAGTTCCAGCTACTTGGAAGGCTGAAGCAGAAGGATCCCTGGAGCCAAACAGGCCGATGCTGGGATGCCCATGAGCATGCCGCGGCACTCCAGCCTGGGTGGCAGAGTGAGACT